GTAATCTCAGAGGAATGCCCATATGTTAAAGAGTGGAGAGAATGAAGTCTTTCTGAAGTTAAGTGTAAATTATACCACCTTCTTTGGGAGCAAAAGCTGCTAAGGGTAACAGAAGAAAATGACAGTGTAGGAAATCAAGGTTCTGGAACAAACCTCCATGTGTTAGTCATTTCTTACTCCCTGCTCAGGATCCACTGTGTCCCTCTCCTTTCTCCAAAGCCGGTTTGAAAGGGATTCTGATGAGCTGTGGCTACAGAAGGTGACTTTAGGCAGAGCATAAATTAGGACATAATGTCTTTTTTTATAAGAATTATATTAGACATGCTTTTAAAAATAGGCTTTTTAAAGGCCTTATTAAGAAAATAATCAAAGATATATTTTTTCAAATCTTTGAGTTTAGTCTGCTTTCAGTAATAATAGGGTATAGGTACCAAAATAAGCAAACCTCTTTTACTTTCCTGGTTTCTGCTTATAAGATTTACAGGTATTTAAAATAAGCCTATGGAAAGCAGAAATTGTGTCCTGGGATTGGCTAAATAGAGCAATTACCTCCAGGCTCCAAAACCCAACTGAGCTTGACGTTTGGAAATAAATTTGGCAAAGACTTCTTCCTCATTCTGCTGTGTAAAGGTGCACATGAAATGATATTGACCTCTTCCAGAAAGCCCAGGAACCCTTTTCGGTGATGTGCTTGTAACAGTCGTGGAAGAATTAAAACAACACAGATGTGGGTTAATGTGAAAAAGTAGGCACACCAAATTCTCATTGTGCGGTTTCAGATCCTTTAAAATACTTTGTCAGATCCTTTAAAATACTTTGGTGCACCACAATAATTAAAGGGTTTAAGAACATTAAGTTTAGATATGTAGAAAATAAAAGCCCACAGTTGAATAACAAGAATGAACTATGTTTTATTTTTCTAAATTGGAATTAATGTAGGTTGCCATGGTGAAAATTGGTTGAAATATTTAACAGTAACCGTTTTGTACAGCCCTAGAGATCAAAAACAGTAATGTAAACAAGAAGGACTCTTAAACACCATATTCACAGGCATGTTTAATGTAAATAATTGCTAGAAGGGAAGTGCATTTTCTTCAATGCTTTCCAAAGAAACTTTAATTGACTTGATTTTGGCAGTGAGACCCATACAACTTAACATTAATAACTCAGATTTTAAAATATTTGCTCATTGCCCTGCATTATGAATGTTAGATTCAAGAAATACTATTTTCAAACATTAATCATTTTAAATAAACTTTTTTTTACACATTTATGACATCAATGAGTATGACTGCTTATTATGTTTTACCTATGAAAGTTGAACTGTTTTATATATTCTTTATAGAAACAGTGCACAGTCATAAATTAAAAGATGCAACTGTTTGGGGGATTTTACTGGTGGTCCTGTGTTTTCTTGCCAGCAGTGCAGCTGTTTCAGGTTTCTCAGGATAACATATAAAAAGTTGTATGCACACTCCAAGTTTATGCTGAATTGCCAAGCCAGAGATGGTATGACTCAACTTTCCCAGAAGCAAGTTGTACCAACATGTGATGAATCCAAACAGTGAGTTGCACTGTGGTTTGTAGTATGGCTGCAGAAACCACTTCTTATTTATTATAGTTGACTTCTTGAGGTTGATAGGCATCTGACTGGGGTGCTCGGATCTTTCCAGGAGTCACTAGCTCTGCTTCTCTTTGAGGGTCTGAAAAAAGAAACGAGAGTGATAGAACATCATCTGGTGCGTGGACAGAAATTGACTTGAACCAATTCCTGTTGACTCAGTTCCAACCCGTGGTGACCCCATGTGTGTTAGAAAGGAACTGTGCTCTCCAGCCAATGGGCTATTGCAACCGCTTTTTCATGATCTTCACCCAAAAATTTGTTTTTAAATCTTTACCAAAATTTTACTGGCGTAATATTGATATTGTTCAGTAATCTCTGCATTCTGTTTCTTCACCTTCCTTTGTAATGGGCACAAAGATGCCCTTCTTCCAGTCAGTTGGCCAGGTAAATGTCTTTAAAGTTTCTTGGCCTAGACTAGTGAGTGCTTCTAGTGCTTCGTCATCTGGCTCAAAACATTTTATTTGGTATTCCATCAATTCCCGGAGCCTTGCTTTTTGCTAATGCTTCAGTGCAGTTTAGACCACTTCCTTTAGTACAACTCGTTTGTGAAATGATTGAACATGGATTGATTGGGGGGTGGGGTGGTACAGTGACTCCGTCCATTGACTTTTGGTGTTTCCTGTAATGTTAAATATGTTGCCAGTGGAATCCTTCAACATTACAACCCTGACAGCCTTTGATCAGAGCACCCTGAAACAATTGTGTAAGCTTTGCTAACCTGCAGTAGTGTTGGTATCCCCATTACAGCCCCTTTCCTGTTTCTTGTGTCCTGTCTGGACCTGTGAATTGATCTACCCTCACTCATGATTTTGAAACAATTTCCTTTGTTCTCCACATACTGTTTAAGTGACTGAATGTCTACGAATCCTTGGACACCATAATGCCCTTGTGAAGGTGATCTCCCTCATCCAGATGAGTTTTCTTTGTCCTGTTTAAGACTTCATAAACAGGACTTTGGTTTTATAAATTTGTTTTGAATTTGGGGTCTCTTTTCTCCCTTAAAATCATACTATACGTGTATAATTTATAAATAAGTGTACAACTTTTGGAAACTTTTGAAACTAATATATGTATATTGTCAAAAAAGTTGAGATTGTTCCTCAATAAATACTAATTCCCTTCGACCTCCCATTTTTTACCTTCACCCTTGGCAGAGAAGCAAAGAATTGAGTTAACACCTTGATTTGTGGCAGTGCAAATAAATTACAGCCAATTCCAGGAGCTGTAGACTGTGTCTTACTTTGACTGCTTTTTCTATTTGGTCTCTTATATTGCCATCTATTTTTTAATCACACAGGATTATTAAACATGAGTACAAATGAAAAGCAGACTTGTTATTATGTTAGAAATAATAGTTTGCTCATGCATCAAATGCTTGACACACAGGAAGCTTGAATGAATGAGTAGAAAAGTTTCCAAGTTATTGAAATGTTGTGGTACCTGATTTATTCTCTTGCTGCACTGGTAATTCTAAGGCCAGTGAAGCTCCTCTACTTCCTGAGGCCTCAGGAAACAATGTGGTTTCTAAACGCAGCATTAAAGCAAAGCTGGAGATATTTGTTTTCTAGCCATGCTGGTAGCCATGCTAACAAGCTGCTCTTTCTTTGCTTGGATTATCTTGTTTTTCAAGCAGTTTTATCTACCGTCGTCAATGCAGACAGTTTCAATTGTTAAAAAAGACTGTTTATGATTGAAGTAAATAGGGCCTCTTGTACTGTTTTTAAAACAAAATATTGGATTGAATGCTCTCCAAAAACAACTTAGCGACTTGTCACAGATAACTTTAATCATTTAAACATGTTTGGCTAAGTATATTCTTTTATACTTGCCACCGTAATGGCAAATATCCCAGGAAGCCAGTGGACTCTTGTTTACTTGAACTGCTTACCAAAGTCAGATTGTATTCTTGTTTTCAAATGCATATTCCACTTCCAGATTAATCATATCAAAACTCTAGTTCACTAGCACCCCCTCCCCACCAAATGGAAAAGAGCTGCACTGGGCGGAGTATGCATTCTTCCTGCTAGGCGAGCATCAAGCAACTCACTCTGAGTTAGTGCACCCAGTGGCGTCACCTGGGAGGTTGTCTCTGGTCACAGTGAACATTTTAATAAAAAACGGTTTCACTTGAAGCTCGTTATTTTGATGGCCAATTTAAGAGAACAGTGGGTGGCTGTGAAATTTTGTTTTCTGCTTGGGAAAAATGTCGCCGAAACGGTTGTGATGTTGACCACAGCTTACAAGGACAGCATGCTATGGGGAAAACTCGAGTTTCTAAATGGTTTTCTCGTTTCTAAAAAGGTGAAATGTCTATTGATGACAAACCTTGTTCTAGACGCCTGTCACCTTCCTGAAGCTTTCTGTTTTGAAGTTCTGAAGATTGCATAACTGTGTGTGGGGAAAAAAAAGGGCCTGATTTGCGGCACACGGGACTGGTTTTGCCAACACAACAGTGCACCTGCTCATGCAACCATCTCAGTGTGTCCAGTTTTGGACCAAAAGCAGCATGCCTCTCTTGTCCCATGCACTTTACTCACCTGACCTCACTCCATGTGACTTCTTTTTGTTTCTGCTAATGAAGAGGGACATGAAAGGACAGTGATTTGACAAAGTAGAAGAAGAAAAAAAACAAAAACGAGGGAGATGCTGTCAGCCATCCAGACAGACAGATGTGCTTGAAAAGTTTTTCCAAGAATGGAATTGCATATTTGACAAATATATTAAGTGTAATGGAGAGTACTTTGAAGGTGATAGTTGTTTTGTAAAAAAAAAAAATTTTTAATACATAGCTTTGAAAAAACAATTCCCGTGTGTGTGTATGTGTGTGTACCCGCTCGTATATTCACTTAAAAATGTGTAAAGATTATCTTTGGATAAATGAATTATCCAAATTCCTTTGTGTGGTATTCCAGATTTGCTCAAACCAATTTCCAAATTGGCTTCACTGCCAATCTCATGACCTAGGGACAAACATAAATGTTGGTTTGTGGTAGCGCAGCAAAGAAGTGGGGCACTAAGAAGTGAGATGGGCTGTCTTGTGAGATTTTTTAAGTTGCTCTATATTTACGATTTGGGACATTATTTTGAATCTGAGTTCCATCCCAGATATTTCTTGGAGCTAGAAGTTTCCAAAGTTCCTTTTTTCAGCAACGGTAGGAAGGATGTTGCTAGTTGGGGGAAGCACTCAGGTCGTTTTGAAGCTTAGACTCCCCATGCACTTGGCGTGTTTCTTCTTGGAAGGCAGTAATTCATGCATAGTCTCAACATTTGGTTGCAGAGTTCCTCTTGAAAATGTGAGTTTTACTGTTGCCTTTAAAAATGTTACCGATTTTCTACATGCAGTCTGTCAGTGCTGCCCTTGTGTGCTTCCTTTCAGGTATCTAAACCATGTCCGAGCTGCCGCTCCACAGGACCTTGCTGGAGGCTACACTTCTTCCCTGGCGTGTCACCGGGCACTGCAGGATGCGTTCAGTGGGCTTTTCTGGCAGCCCAGTTAACTTTCCCTTCCTGGTTTACAAGATTTGGACCTTGGAGCAGAAGCAGCAGTGAGCAACAGTAAAGCAAGCTTGTAAAATTATAGCCCCATGCAGCTGCACAACCACAGAACGGTGATGCAACAGCTACATGCAAGTCTTTATAGAGAGAACACTTCAGAATTCACCCGAGTGTCACAGTGGATACATGTGCGAAAAAGATTGAGATTTTTACTTACTTTCTTCTGAGGGATTAAGGCCGTAAGCCATCTGATGGAAGATTTGTTAATTCACCTATGTAAGTTTGAGGTTAACGGACAGACTTGTAAAATTGTTTTAAAAATAAAGTTAGACTTTATATTAAATTTTGTGGTTTTTCTCTTATTACAGTGTTTTACTTGAACACATTTAAAATGCCTTTTTGATTACAACATTTAGTGTTAATATCCAAGTCTATTATTTCTTCTCATAAAATGTTCCCCTTCCCCCCCCCCCCATTGTCTTCTTAAAACTAGTCCAGACAAGTGGACATATTTTCTTCAACCTGCAGGTTGTGGCAAGTAAAACCCGACCTGTGATAATGTTCCTTTCTCAGTGTTAGGGACCCAGTAAGTGTTTGAAGCTGTGGAAAGTGATGCAAGCCTTGATCAAGGTGCTATAGTTCCCAGCTGTGAACCACGCAGGCTAAGCCAGAGCACAGTATAACCCTACTTTAATGGCAAATTTCAAAGAAGTTAATAAAATTTAATACCTAAATGGCACCGTTCACCTCTGATGTGAGCTTACTTTATGATGAAACCTTAGAGACTAGAAAAGGTACCTTTTAAGTGATATTTCCCTATTTATAAATTGCAGGCTCCGATAGTTTTCTGTTGAAACGTCCAAAGCTTTTATTATACCCAAGGTTTTCCTTAACAAGTTTGGCTGTACATAAGATGGATATTTTGCAGCATCTCAGCCTTGCACGAGTCTGCCACATAGACCACTAGATGGGACGTGGTTTCTCAAGAAAAATTAAGGAATTTTTGTTAAATGTACATTACAACTGATACTTATGCCTGTTAGTTTTGTGAAAAGATTTGTGGTGCCACTAGGTGGAATATCCCTATATTGATGACTCCATTTTATTTTACAGAATAGGAACTTTCAAATGTACATCTTATCTGCACACACACTATTTTTTTATAAATAAGAAAACCAAATAATCATACATGGGCCATGATCATACACACTAGTTCGTAAAAGCCAGGATTAGAACACAGGCTTTTTTTTTTTTTAATCAAAGTCTAGTTCTGCCAAACCATACCAGACTGATCTTATTCCTTTTGTCTATTAGGTATTCCCCACTTGAAATTGGTATTTTAAGTAGACCATATAGTCTTTTTCAAAGAGTAGTGACAGTGTTACTGGTCTTGTGGTTCAGACTGCTGCTTTTAACTGCCAAAGTGAAGTATCCAGTCTGAAAACTGTTACTTGTTCTTAGTACCTAATAATAAATTTACATCAGGTAAGTAAACAGAATATTTTATTATACTTAATATCAATATCAAGACTTGTTTTAAATTGAGCCCACTTTATTATAGAAATTGAAACAAAGTTGGAGCCAACAATATATTTGATATTGCCTAAGACAAATATCAGAAAAATGTTTCCTTGTGTTTTATTGACTATGCAAATGCATTAGGCTGTGTGGATCAGAACAGTGGATCACTTGGAGGAGCATGTGGGATCACGTGGAGAATTCCAGCGCACGTCGTTGTGCTCATGAGGAACTATACATAGAGGCACTCATCACAAAGGAACAAGGGAAGACTTTTTGGTTTAAAATCAGGAAAGGTGTGCATCGGTTATATCCCTTCAACATAATTATGTGATATGGATGCTGAGCCAAATAACATGAGAACCTGGACTATACGAAGAACACAGCTTCAGGATTAGTCTCATTAGCAACCTTTGATCTGCAGAACAGACCACCTTGGCTTGTTGAAAGGACTAATGAAGATCAAGGAGTATGGATTACCACTGTGTTAAGATAACAAAACTCCTCACAACTAGACCTATAGAGAGCATCATGATAAAAGGAGAAAAGATCAAAGTGGCCAAGGATCCAAAAATCAATGTCATGGAAACAACAGTCAAAAAATCAAAGGACACACTACATTGGACAAATCTGCTGCCCAAGGCCTATTTAAAGTTTTAAAGAACAGGGTTGTCTATTTGAGAAGGTGGGCCTGACCCAAGCTATAGTATGTGTGTGAAATTAAGGAAATTGGAGACTCTGACCAGAGCACACAGGAGCAGATGACGGGGGAGGAGGAGAGACTGGACCACATCCTGGCCCAACAGGCCTTGAGGATGATGACCCCAATTAGAGCAGCCAGTCCACAGAGAGGACCACATGGCCAGCCCCACTATGAGACATGATGCCCCTCACTG